TTGCTGTTGCCCGTCATTATATTCTCAGACCGCAGTTATGTCATCTCTCAGTTTTTGTGTAGCTGGACTAATGAGCCGAAGGCAAAACCTCCCCAGTTTTCCAGGCCGCTGCCCGCGCGTGGTGCCCGGTGTGGCACTGGCTGCGGCGCGGCGCCCGCCCGGGCCTTCGTGCGTGCTGCCGAGCGAGCGGCGCTGCTGCTCGTGGAGGTGCTCGTTTGGAATCCGCGGGTGCTGCTGCTCTCGCTCTCGTCTGCCCCGGACTGCATATTGCCTCCACCTTTCGGGTGCCAGCGTAGCTATCTGAAACTGCTCTGCAAACAGGGCAGCATTTTTCTTTCTTTCCCAGGTCGTCAGCTGCATCATCCTTTCCACAAGGGGTAGTGTCTTTTACCCTTTTTTTTAATCTGGGTAGTTCTTAATCCGCATCTTCGCTGCGGTGTGAGAAGGAGCACTCTGTGCGTGTATCTGGAAAACCAGTAAATGGCAGCACACAACCCTGCAGACACATGCAGCAATGTTTGTCTACCTGCTCTGACAGAGCAAATCGGGGCCTTGCTGGGGCATCTTGACTGCCGTGTAAAGATGGGTACAGCAGAAAAACATTCGGATCGGCTTCCTCTGGGGAGATTTTCTGTTGGGAATCTCTGAGTTTGCATCAGTTAGGGATGGGGAGGGGAAGGAAGAAACAGTAATTTACAAGTCTTAAAGTACTGAGGCACCTTACAGATTTATTTAGGGAAAAGATGTTCACTAATTAAAAGAAATTCTTGAACTGTAGTTCAAAGTCTGTTTATTGAGGGGGGGGGGGGGGGAAAAAAGGCTTATTTACTGCCCCTCTGGAATTGTCTATAAAATAGGTCTATGCAGGTATTGCGCCTGCTTGGTCCAACTGTGAGAAATAGCTTATGCTGTCTCTGTGATCACTAATTGAAAGTCCTCCCTGTGTTGCTAAAGTGTGTTTTCTTTTCCCCCACCTGCCCCCCCCCCAAAAAAAAAAAATTCCTTCAGATTATTGTGAACAGTTTTGGTTTTCTTGCCTTAAAAAAGAGTTGTGCTTTGCATTTACATAGAACAGAAACAAGCTGCCTCTGAATTATTACTGACTTTTTGGTATCACTCACATGCACAGGCGTCTAAGCATATAGTCGATGTAGAAATGTTCAGTTTTACTTGCTGGGCTGTAGATTGTAAGGTGAGTTTTGTTGTATTCATGCAATATAGAAAATGTATTAGGGCTTAACGAATAATGAAATCAGAAATTTGACATTTCTCTGAAGACTTGCATGCTGCAAACTTGTATGCACTAACTACAGGAAAATATTTTTCAGGATGGCCTTTTTGTCTGCAGTTCTGGTAATTTCAAAGCTTTTTTTTTTTTTTTTGGAATGAGAACTGTAAAAGTTCCTCCTTTATGGTTAATCTTCAAGTAGGCAATAAGAAGGCTTCCTCAACAGCTCTCCCAGTGCCATTCAGTTCTGACTTTTTTTTTAATAAATGTCTTTGTTGTTTTGATTGTTTCACCAAATCAGAGTGTCTTTTTTTTTGTCCTAGTTTAGAGACTTTATATTTTAGAGACTATGTGCAAAAAGAGGGAAATGGTGAATACTCTGCTCATGAAAGTTCAGGTGGTGATTCTGTACGGAGAGCTCCCGAGAAGCCATTTCCATATGAGATTTTTCATTTTATCCCTGAATCACGAGATAAGAAGAAAGCCTTTAGCTTTTAAAAGTCCAGGCTTTTTACGACAGAACTGCTGAGGCTCTCGAGATCGCGACGCTCCTGCAGTCTCTGAGCTAATATGGTCCTCTCATGTCCGAGAGAGGTTTTCCACTTGAGCCACTCTTTGGTGGAGGACTGTTGGCTAGCCTGAGGAAGGTGATCTCAGAAGTGATGACTGCATCCCTGTAAATCTGTCACTCTAGAATAATCTCAGTATGAGGGAGCCGCCTTTTTGTCTTAATACTGTTCACAGAGGCTTCACTAACAAAACGCTAGTGGAGCAGAAGCTGATTCTTTTTTCTCTTAAGGATTTTTTTTCCCAAAGCCTTATTGTGTCTGCATGCTTATTTATCAACACTAGCAAAATTACGGACATTGTTTTGAGGTTCCAGTGCTCGTCATATCCTTTAGAGATGAAAAATGTGCAGCTCAGTGGTAATGCATGTGGGGCGGTCACGAAGCCTTCTGCTTTTTGCCTTCCCTGGTGAGAGGAGAGAGCTGCAGTTTCGCGGGACTGTGAGCAAATGCAACGAGCTTGGCCAGTCAGCCCATTCATTTTGTCGGCTTAAATGTCAGCCAATTTAATCAGAGCCATGCTGGGTTTCCCCGTCATCCGTCGAGAGAACAGAACCTTTGATAATTAATATGGGGCTATTAATTGGTACAATAACCTAGGGAGCTATCAAATGCCATTTCTTTATTGATGTTGGTATTTAGTATTGCATAGATCCACAGCTGTATACGTGTGAATACATGTGTACTTTTTTGTGAATTTAACTTTACCGTGGTTACTTAAGTAAAGCTTTTCAGTCTGAGAGAAAGATCAAGATGTGGTATATGTAGCAACTGCAAAATGTGGCCCTCTTGCTGGATTTTTTTTTCCTTTACTTTCTGTACCAGTAGTGTAGTTAAATACACATATGCTAATGAATCATGTAGTCCTTAACTTTTCAAGGGTTTATTTTAAAGCTTCTTACAATTTATTACTGTTTCAAGGCAAAGGGATTATTGGAGGGGAGGGGACAGCAGGGTATTCCCAGTTTAAATTCAATTTCCATAGATTTCCTTTGCATCCAGAGAGCCTTCGAGCTGCCAGTTCAATTGAGGAGTGGAATATACGTGCTCCTGAGCACCACGGCAGGAACCTCTTTGCCCCCATTACCTCGGAAGGCCTCTGCTAACAGGTTAATCCCTGCGAATGCCTCTCTCACCAGGGCTCAGTTGGGCTGCGAGTCTGCAAATAAACAAGGGAAGGCCGCGCTTCAGAGGCACAACTCCTTATTGATTCCTTTGTAATTCTTCTTTATTTTTAGTAAGGACAAAGCTGTAAGGGGCTCCGTGTCCCTGCGAGGTCAGTCTTCCCTTGGGGCATCGGCTTGTCCTGCGTGGGCCGTGTCTGCGCGGCGCCAGCGCCGGGGCCCTGCGCAGCCCCGGCCCTCGGGGCTCTGCGGGAGCAGAGTCCGCCTGCCCGGAGCTGTGGTGCTTCCCAGGGCCGGGCGCTCAGAAACGCGGTAAAGACCTTTTTTCTTTCACTGACACAAACAGATGTGAAGGGGGAGAGGGAGAAAAAAAAACAAAGAACAGATGCAGTGACTAAGATGCCGTATTTATATTCCATTCTTGTATAGGGGAATCATGATCGTAAGGAAGTTAGATCTGTGTTAGCTATGAATTTCACAGATTTTGAAACTCTTGATTTATAATCTTAAATACACTAGGCCATATGTTTCTCCCTAGTGTAATTAATTGTTCAGCAAGTCATGTACAAGATGCTTGTGTGATCAATACCTTTTTAATTCGAGTAGATTACTAAATGTAAACATTATGGAAGGGTGATTTTCTCCTTAGATTAAGGGGACAATATCCTTGCCAGGTGTTTCCTGTTTCTGTTTTAATTAATGTTCACAGTATTCTTAGCCTTTCAGACCTCTCTTGCTGACATATCTTGGATTATCACCTTCAGAAACACTTAGTCTTGAATTAGACACATGAAAAATTATTAATGCAGCCAAACACTTTGATTCAATGCATGGTTTGTAACGTGTTTGAAAATATTTGTAAAGCAAGAGGTTATTTAACAGACATATAACTGATGTAATTGAAATGCCAGTACAAGATGGTGATGAATTGCTCAGTTCTGAAAGTTGCAGTGAATGTGGAAATAGATTTTGAGAAACATTAAGAACTGTAATACTGAGGCCCAGGCTATGAGAGAGAATTTCACAATTCTCGCTTCTTCCTAGTTGTGTGGACCATATTTATTGTGCAACTGGTGGCATCCTACTTGATTTTCTGTCTTGCATCCTATAAAAATGCAGCCCGCCCGGATGAGACCCTGTGCCGCATGCTCTGTATGTCCCTACTTGAGCAGAGGTTTGGACTAGATGATCTCTAGAGGTCCCTTCCAACCTCAGCCATTTTGTGAATTGTCAGACCCTTCAAAACTCTGCCATGCCATCCCCAGTTTGTAATCTGCCTTTCCACAGTATCTCTCAGCGCTGTTTAGATCTGCCAGTTTGCTTGGCAGCAGCTTCTCAGACACGATCCTTGCGCGCGCGTCCGGGTTTACGTGGAGCTGCCCCCACGTGTCCCCTCCTTCAGCGCCGACGTGGCCGTGCTGATGTCTGCCTGCCCTGCTCTCCTGTGCCACAGGCTCCGGTTTGGTGTCGCACCGTTAAGGTCCCTGCCGTGTCCCAGCTTGCACGCTTTGTCGCACAACCCGTCTTCTTCTTATCTTTTTAGCTGTAGTCTTCAGATAACGTTGTTTTCTTCAGAACATAAACTGCCTTCAGATGTTTGGAAAGCGCCTACCAGATTGTAAAGCAGTTTCTAAAAGCAGTTAAGTAGCAACTTTGGTGCATGTCTAAATGGAAAAGTTATTTCAAAACGCTCCTTCTCTAGGTGTGCCTTAATGCACTTAAGGTCTGCAGACAGAAGAGTCAGCGCTTAGTCTGATCCAAAGCTTATTGTGAAGCTGAAGGGCAGGTTCCCATTGACTTCAAAGGGCTCTGGATCAGCAAGATCTTGATGAACTATCACTAAATACTTGGTGACCCTCCTCAAGTAAAATTTAAGCTCCTAAATAATTTCATTATTTCTGAGAATTTTAACTGACGTTTGAGCTCAGGTGAATCACCCAGCATAAGCTGGTCACGCTGAGAAGCCCTTTCTGCTTTAAAGACATAGAGCATCTGAGGGCTTGGGAAGTTTGAGAATCTTTTGAGAATTTTAGCTATCGTTTCAATGTTGTAAGGCCCATGAGTTGTGCTGAATAGCTGGATGCAAATTCTAGGTGAGCTGTTACTGTGGTATCCAAATGCGCTGGGACATTTCTAGTGTGTATCTGAGGTGCCATAGACATGAGCTTTTCCTGAGTGTAAAGTGCTCTACTACAAGTTTTACAGGAAAGATAAATTTGACATGGAGCAAGGGAAGCAGAACCCACTCATTTAAATCATCTAGTTAAGATCTCATTTAAAAATTGTAAGGTTTATTTTCCATACGCTATTGTAGAAATTTGTTTTTAAATGACATGGAGAGTTAAGTGGGAGTGAGAGACTATCAAGCTTAATTGTAACTTAATGACAATGTAAACATTGGGAACTACTTTTTCTGCAGATTTTAAGGAGAAAAATGCCTTAGATTTAGCAAAGGTTTTGTAGCACTCCATTGTGTTACTCCCAAAGACAAAATATCAAATTTTCAGGGTTAGATTGAAGATCATCCATAAGAAGCAGTGTTTAGAATTCTGTTGCTTCTTTCATTTCATATCAGAATATGGATTGAAGTAGTATGCCTTCGCTAGCTTTTCTGGGTTATATCAGAGAGTAGCTTGTCCTCATTCTGTCTACAAAAAAGTGGGGTTTCCGTTAGTTATGTTCAGTTGTGCTTCTCTCTACCGTGACATTTAGTTGGGGTGGATACAGCTTGTTTAGAGTGCACTCTGTTCTAAAGCTCAGGTAAAAAAAAAATCTCAGATTCTTCTTGAAGTTGGTAAGAGCTTAAGGAAAAGGGAGAGTTTTAGAACATGTAGTTATGGCCCTTAGTTATATGTTAGTAATCAAGTAACTGTTTTGGATTTATATTAAATTTACTGTTACGTGGGGGGGGGGGGGGGGGGGGCG